CTCTGTGCTGCCCACATCGCCCCTGCTGCCAAGCCGCCCACGCCGGCCAGGCCACCCAGGCCGTCTACTGTAGCAGCCCTGCGGTGCACAGCCGCAGCATCGCCGACCCTGCCATTCCCCCCATCCGCTTCCCCTATGTACTCTCTGCGCCCCGCCATGCTCGCACCCTCCCCGCCCATCCCTCTCCCCGCGCCCAGTATAGTTCCCCCACCCATCTCCCCCCATCCCATGCCCTGTCGCCCCACCGCCCGCTCCATACAGCTGCCTCCCCCCATTCCCCTCTCAAGAACCCCCCTTCCCCTCCCCCTCCCTTCCCCCCTTCCCCTCCCCCTTCCTCTTGCCCCCATCCCCTCCGCGCCCATGCTCTGCCTATGCGCCTCACCCCTTCCCCCTGCCCCCCCTGCGGCAAATTGCCTTCCCCCTGGACCAATGGCAGGCTGACACGTGAACCAACGGGTCCCGAAACCCTCTCTTGAAAACTCCCCGTCCCGCAGACGTATCCCCCTCTTCCGCCCAACCTTCTCCGCCAATCCCCTTCCCCAGCGCTGCTTCTGTTCCCCGCGCCTGCCACACCCGCGACTTCCTTCCGCACACCCTCCCCCAAGCATATCCCAGGCGCACTCCAAGCAGCCCCCACCGCTTCCCGAGCCGTTTTTTGCGCAACTAACCCGCGCCCCGCCACCTGCACCCCTCCTTCCCTGCATCCTGCGCCGATGGGTGCAAACGCCCGCGATTCCACCGCCGCCCCTTCCGCCAGTCCGCCGCCCTGCTCTCTCCGTGCACGAGAGTGCGCTTCCGCGCTCCCCCTGTCCGCCGTAACCCTCCCGCGACCCTCGTCGCCAACGCCCCTCGTCACAGCCATCCCTCCGCATTCCCCGGCTTCCGAGGCTGCGTCAAGCTCAGTCACACTCCCGAACGCGTGGCCCAACGCGCCCGCGGACGCCACGTCAGCTCTGCCCGCGGCGCTTACCGAAACAAAGTGTGCGGTAGCTGCTGGTCGACCAATAGCAGCAGGCCAGCTCGGCGGCACCTGTCTCCGGGAATCAGGGGATACTAGCAGGGGATGAGCGGGATTCGCGGGCTGGAAAGAAGAAGTCGCCATCTGGAGTCGCACCTGAGGAGCTGCAGGTGCTACCTCCGCCACTCCCGGTGGATACTGACGAGCCGCCCCGGTAGGAACGACGCTGTGAAGGCGTGGCGACGCGAGCGACGCACTAACTCCCTCGATGTCCCCTCTGCCGTCGACCCAGGGATGCCGGTTCGGCGCTACTAATACGCAAGCCGGCCGCCGGTAGCGCTCCGCAGGAACCGTCGAAGCGCTGCTAAGTACGCGCGGCCTGCTGGGGATTCCCGCGCGGTTTAACTCGTAGAACAACCCATCGCTCGTGGAGCGAGAATGCACGCCGGGGTTCGCGCTTCTCGGCGCGGGGAACTCCCGAGGTGCGCCGCGAATCTGGGAAGGGGAGGGTGCGCTGCTGGGGGAATCGAGAGAGCCGGAGCCGACGAGCAGACGAAGGGGGGAATCGGGGGAAGGTGGCTTTGTCAGAAGCCGCGAAGGTGATGGGGCGTGGTTTCGCGAGCCGCGCTCTGCTGCCTTGGATGGTGAAGATCGAGACGAGACGGAGGTGAAAAATACAGGGGACTCTTCGAAGTTGGTGACGTTGACGTGGCTCGAATCGCCACGAGGACGTTGGGCGGGTGGAGTGAAAAAATTATGCGACGGACAGGTGGAGGAGTAACTACGACGGTTCGGCGCTAAGGAAGTCCACTGATTCCCGTGCTTCTCTCTCATCCACGAACCATCGTCCATTCTGTCAACACAAATCAATAGTAGCTAGAACTCCTGGTAGGAGCATTGTGAGAAACAATATTTGCCTTCAGAACTGGGAGTTACTACAAGGTGCTGGTGCTGGTGCTGGCTGATGGCTCGGCAATTCCAAGGCGGGAAAGATTGCACATGGGCAGGAGGATCCCTCTGGTCCGGCGCTTCCCCCCAAACAGGCTCGCGCGGACGTTGAGCAACGGCCGCTGTTCTGCGCTGCACCGCACCGCATGGTGCAGCAGCGGCCCCAGGTCTCCATGCTCTGGGTTTGTCGGGACGCCAGAGGAGGGGGAGGGGGCAAATCTCAACCCTAAGATTGATGAGCTCCTCTGGAGTTCGATGAATGTAGGGCGGATTCGGCATTGAGAGGGGATGAATCGCGTTCACACCCCCGGATTCGGCATTGACAGGGGCTGTGGTTTGTTCTGCAAACTGGGCCTCGATTCTGGAAACACTGAAGGGGTGTTATTATTTCGTTGCAAAGTGACCGAAATTACCAAAGTGTTTCGTACAGCATCCACATATGAAACTACCCTGCCTTGCCGCCACGCTAGAAGCCATGCGATGTGATGTGATCGTGCAGTGACCACATTCTTCATCATCCACGCTACAGTCGCTGCCGTGCCACCCTACATGACTCAGTAGATATTCCTGGCCTCGTAACAAAGGCCTTCGAACAGATGTGTTCGTCTCCAAACTTTTGGGATTGCTTGCAAGTGTAATTGCCTGCTTCATCGGTTAACCCTCAAGGTGGATAAATTCAGTCATTCCCGAACCAAGTCCCGAAACAATTCTGGCTCTCCATCGAATTTTCCGAGACTGTTCCGAAATCCACCCTGCTGGCGTCCGGATTTGAAGTCACAGAACTCGGAAACAATGGGAAACCCCGAAAATGGGATATGCTTACCTCTTAAAGTACTGAAAGCATGGAAAGTATTTCGACTTCTCTGAATCAAGGGTAGCCACCCTTATAGTGTGGATTGTGTTCCGAAGTCATGTGTTCGTAACAGCCTGGAATGCGACCTCAACATGCCACTGGCTTCCACGCTGTAGTGTCCCGCTGCCCACGATTACAAGTCACAGCTCGCTGAGGTGGTCTCGTAGGCAAGGGAGTACACATGAATTCCTTTTCAAGCCCAGTTCGTTTTCAGGCGGATAATCCAGAATCGAGCGCAAAACTTTCACAGGCGAAATGGGCCAATATAGGGTAGTCTGGGTACCTAATTGGCATTTTCAGTCTAAATCGGGTGACCATTGTTGTTTCTTTTGTGAAGCCTCGGGTAACAGTGTGAAGCCTCAGAACGTTTGGAGATGTGGTAACTGTTTGAGATCAGTGGGCCTCTGTAGGCTGGGCCGTTGCCTGTTATGATTTAGAAGATGTCAATGAACTATAACGTGAGAATACAAGGTCGCTATTGCAATGAAAGCACGAGGTTATATAGGAGTAGACGTAATAGGGCGATAACCTCGGGACGTGGGTAGGTTCGGCAATATGGCGACGTTGTCGGACGCGACTCGAGAAAGGGTTGGGTCGAAAATGTAGGCCGAACGTGACGAGTCGAAGTGTTCGGGTGTACGCGGTAGCGGGCGACTCAATAAGGAATGGAAATTCCTTACACTACCCCCCCCCCCCCCCCCCCCCCCTCCTAAACGAGTCCGTGGGCATCGGAGACGTTACGACGCCGATAATACGCCGTGAGAATCAGATGTGATTCTAGGTCAACGAGGGGCACCCAGCTGTCGTCTTCGGACGTGCGATCGCGCCAGCGGACGAGGAAATCAACCATCTGACGGTTCAGCTGCGTTGTGACGCGATGGCCGAGGATTTTCAAGGGCTCGGTCGTCGGTTCCTGCAAAGGCGTCAATTGCGGTACCCCGCGGTTGCATGCCAAGTCCGACGAACTCGGGACGTAGGGTCGGAGAAGACTGACGTGGAAAGCCGGGTGGTGGCACCAATCAGCCGGTAGGCGAAGGTGAACAGTGACAGGTGTCACTAGGTTTGTCACTTGAAAAGGTCCGCAGAATCTGGGTCGGAGTTTGCTTGGGATCGGCAGCCGCAGATTGCGAGTGTCGAGGAGGACTAGATCTCCCACTTTGTAAGTGACGTCACGGCGATGACGATCGGCTTGTCGGCTTGCAACCAGGTTGGCTTTCCGGATGGCCTCAGCTGCTTTTTCTCGAGCGGCGAGAATGTCTTTAGCAAATTTCTGGGACCGGGGCACGGGTGACTCGATGGTCGGTGTAGAGGGTACTACTGGGTCGTGTCCGTAGTTGGGGAAGAATGGGGACTGGTTGGTTGAGGCGGAGGTCGCGTTGTTATACGCGAATTCTAGAAGCGGAAGGGATTTCTCCCATGTCGATGGTTCAGTACAGGTAGTGCGAATCAGTTGCTCCATGGTCTGGTTGACGCGTTCCGACTGCCCGTCGGTCTGTGGGTGGTAGGCGGATGAAAATTGGAGTTTGGTGCCGAATTGGTCCCACAGGTGGCGCCAGAAATTCGATGTGAATTTCGGGTCTCGGTCTGAAATGATGGCGGAGGGCAGTCCGTGCAGTCGGATGACGTTCGTGAGGAACAGCTGCGCGGTTTGTTCGGCTGTGATTATGTATTGGCAGACGATGAAGTGCGCCATTTTCGTGAGTCGGTCAACGACCACGAGGATGGCGTCGTTTCCGCTGGGACCGGCCGGTAGTCTTGTCACGTAGTCCATCGTGACGTGTTGCCAGGGTCGCTCGGGCGGATCCAACGGCTGTAGTAGTCCGGCTGCTCGCTGATGCGACGATTTCATAATCTGGCAGGCACTGTAGGAGGACACGTACTTGCGCACGTCATCGGCCATGTTCGGCCAGTAATAATTCCGCTGAAACATCTTCGTGGTTTTATCGACGCCGAAATGTCATGAGGTAGGGTTGTCGTGGGATTCCTGGATTAGAAGGGTATGAAATAAATCGTAGCCCGGTACCCAAATGCGAGAAGTACCCCGCTTATAAAAATATGGTCCGGTGGCGGTGGTATGCTGTTGATGTATGGCTGAGCGGAAAAAGGGATCGATCTTGTAGCCGTGGGTGAATAGTCTCTTAAGTAATGGATTGGTCTGGGCGATTAGTATCGCGGCGGTATGGACAGTAGGGCGGGTCAAGGCATCGGCGATATTATTGGCACCCCCGTTTGTAGGTGATGGTGTAATGGAAATTGGACTCGAGGAAATCGAGCCATCAGATCTGTCGCGGGTTGAGATTCGGTTGGGCGCGTAGGTACTGTAAGGATTTGTGGTCCGTCCGCACCGTGACATCAGCTCCGGTCAGGTAGCACCGCCAGGTCTTGAACGCGTGGACGATCGCCAGCATTTCCTTGTCGTGTACTGTATAGTTTTTTTCCGCGCCCTGCAGCTTCCGTGATTCGTAGGCGACTGGTTGTAACCCGTCGCCGAAATCCTGTAGAAGAACTGCACCGATGGCGATGTCGCTGGCGTCGGTGATGACTTCGTATGGACGGTCGGGATCGGAGATGCGAACTACGGGCGGCGACATGAGGGCGGTTTTGAGTTGGTCGAATGCAGCTTGCTGCTTCTCTCCCCACCAAAATAGTCGTGATCCTTCAGTCAGTCAATTAGTGGCGCAGATAACCCAGCCATATTGGGGATGAAGCGGCGGACGTAGTTGACAAAACCCAGAAAACTCTGCAGTTCCTTGAGGTTGGTCGGCGGCTTCCATTCCTGTATAGTCTTTTTTTTCCTGGGGTCGATTTTCACTCCTTCGGTAGAGACGACGTGGCCCAAAAACTCCAACTCCTGCTTAAGAAAATCGCACTTAAACCCTTTCGTGATGAGGCGATTCTTGTGCAGCAGCGTGAAGACTGCATCAAGATCCTTTAAGTGCTGCTCCCTGCTGCGGCTGTAGATTAGGATGTCATCGAGGTAGATAATTACGCATTTATCCAGGAGTTCGCGGAAAACACCGTTCATGGTCATATGAAAAGTCGAGGGCGCGTTCGTGAGGCCAAAGGGCATCACCAGGTATTCATAACTGCCGTAGCGGGTTCGGAAAGCGGTTTTGTGACAATCGTCGGCGTCGACGCGAATTTGATGGTAACCTCCTCGTAGGTCGATTTTTGAGAAGAACTTGGCTCCGCGAAGTTGGTCGAGGAGATCGTCGGCTCGCGGGATCGGGTAACGGGACTTGATGGTGATGCGGTTGAGCGCGCGGTAGTCGATGCACATGCGGAATCCTCCATCTTTTTTCGGTGTGAACAGTATCGGGGCGGCGTATGGGGACGTGCTGGGTCGGATAAAACCCTTCGTCAGGAGGTAATCTAACTGTTGCTGCAATTCTTCGAGTTCAGGTTGGCTGAGCCGAAATTGTCGCTGTACTGTCGGTTGTGCGCCTAATTCCAGCTCTATGCGATGGTCTTCGGGTCGGCTTGGCGGAAGTCCGGCGGGTAGGTCGTCCGGGAAAGTCTCGGGGTATTTTCGAATGAGTTCCGCTAAATCCGGAGGAACGGCTTCACACAACTTCGTGATGTCTTCCGCTGTTATCGGCGACGTCACTTCGCGAAGATCGACGGCGTATGCTGCTGCTCCCGCTTTTATCGCGCGCTTGAAGGTGATCGCGTGGACTTGGGTACTGCGCATGCGGGGTCCCGTCCATTTCGGTAGCTCGTAATAGTGCCCATCGATTTTGATGCTGCAGCTGCCCGTTGTCCAGTCGATTCTCGGGTTGTACTGTCGCAGCCAATCCCGTCCCAGCAGCACGTCGCACCCGTCGAGTGTAGTCGCCAGCAGCCCCATCCAAAATTTTACGTGCTCGCCGCAGTGGAAACTGACGTGCTCCACCCGCTCCCGTATAGCCAGCGGTGTTCCATCCACCAGTCTTGCGTCAATTTCAAGCAGGCACTTTAATAAGGGGATACCCATTTTCTTAGCCTTGGCTAACTGTATGAGACTGTGACTCGCGCCTCCATCCACGAATATTTTCAGCAACACCCCGTTGACTTTACCCTCCACCAACACAGGGTGATCAGCAGTTTCGTCCCCCTTATTCGTCCGGGTCCGGTCAATTGCAGCAATCGGGATCACGACCCGGTGGGGACTGTGTGGTTCGGGCAAAGAAGCCTGCCCGTCAGTAAGGGGCCCGGTACTTACTGACGCGACCCATTTCCCGGTCGCTCCTCCGGCTTCTTCCCCATAGAATTCTGGATGGCTATGAATTCCTGGCAGTTGCGTTTGATGTGACCCGGTCGGCCACAGTGGTAGCATAGCCCCGTATTTCGCGGAGCAACTGCGTAAATATCCACTGCGTCCATCCGTTTTATCGTGGCGCGCTGGTACTGTTCTCGAGGGCGACCTTCGTCGTAGAAGTTCGTTCTCGGCTTCGTGAGCGAATCAGCGGCTTCGGCGAGTTGGATGAAGTCTTGTAACCGCTTCGCAGATCGTTGTAATCTTATTTGGTACTGTATTTCAGGCTTCAACCGGCCCATGTACCTGTCGACCTTCTCCAACTCGTGCATGTAGCCACATCGATCCACCAACGTCAAGAATGACGCGGTGTAGTCAGACACAGATCCCAGCTGCTTCCACATGCGTAAAGTCTCGCGCGCTTTGTCTGAGTCAGGGGCATGCTCAAACCGCTTGCGGAGCTCTGCGCACCACGTTGCCCACGTGCGAATGTGAGTTGCACCAAACAGCAAATCTGCTTCGTCTTCGTCGCCGAATTCTTCGGACCACTCATGCTGTCCTTTTGTGCGAGTTGCCGCTGAGTCGACGATGACCTTCCACCACTGTAGGGCGGCCCCTTGCAGCAGTGTCAACGCGCGGCTGATCCGCTTCTGGTCGTCTCGGATGCCCGCCACGTTAGAGTAGATATTCATGGCGAATATCCACTGCCGCACCGTCACGCCTTTATTAGCTGGGTCGAAAGGAGCGGGTTGCTGATATCTTACGCCGCCACTTGTCGAGTGCGGGGCTGTTGCCGCTAGCCGTGTCAGCTCCACTGGTGTCGGTTGCTGCTCACCCGCCTCGCTTCGTGCATCGTCGCCCGGCTCCTCTGAATGCCTTTCCTGCGCCTGGCGAAGTCGTTGGTTTTCGTCACGGAGGTTGTTGAAGACGCTTGTCAAATTATTCAACTGCTCCATTATTGCTTGCATGTCTACTGTTTCCCGGGCAGAGTTCGCAGCAGTCGAGGTTGTCTGTTCCTCAACCGTCGAGTCTACCGGGGCCATGGCGGTCAGGACGGGGCAGAAACTAGCGCACACGCTGTAGTTGTTGACGTAAAAATATTTACGATCAAAGACAACTGCTGTGCAGCCGTGATCCCCTTTGACCACCCTTAACTAACTTGTTGAAAGTACATCAAAAGACTTAAGCGTTTCTGAAGTGTAACACTACACTCGAGGAAGATTGCAAGGGGTACGCGAGTCAACGGAGGTTACACAAGGGGGCGGACAAAGAACACGAAGGGTCTGGGACTCAAAGGGTCGCAACTGGAGGTTGCGACTGACCGTTACAGCATCACGGATGGTAACCGAAGCGGCAATCGAGTCGCTATGCGACTCGATAAACCGTTCCTGTAACTGTACTCTGCAACTGCTTTCTTATCTTCTATATATTGCTGTATGCTTGTTTCTTTAATTAATCACTTGTTCTCACATACTAGTACAAGGGTTCAACTGCCTCAACTTCCGCTGCACTACTCCAAGTCTCAAGTCTCTACAGCTGGGACTTAGTCTCTGCAAAAGATCCTAAGGGCTTTTCTCAGCCCAACATGGTATGAGAGCTGGTCAGAGACCAAACTCCCAGCAACTACGCTCCATCAACGACCTGCAACTCAACTTGATTCAACAACTCCATTGATTACAAGACATGGACAACAAGGGCAAGAAAGTCTCTACGGGCTCACCCAGCGCCCAAGAAACTCAACACGGCAACTCTGGTCTGCACACCTCAGGACTGCAGACAGAGACCGGGACTACTCAAGAAACAACGGGAAGAGTACCAGAGATGGTGACTCCGTCTCCCTCTTCAAGTGTGGACCCGAATCTCATGGAGAGATTCTTCAGCTTCATGTCACACTTCGACCAGCAGCAGCAGACAAGGACACCTGCGCACTCAACACAGAGCAATGGAGGGAATATGGGATTAGCGCCGATGAGCCTCGACAACTCATCCTTCGGGCGACACAACCAAGCGCCTACCTTTGCGCCTTATCATTCTTCGCCGGGGACGTTCGAATTCATGCCGCCCCGTGCCCAGCCAACAGCAGCTGCATCACAACAAACACCGAATGAAATCTTAAGTTTACAGGCGCAGTTCTCACACGTGATCAAACTTCAGACATCCTCACCGTTCAACGGACACGACTTCTTTACCTGGAGCTTCGAGTTCGAGCTGCTGATGGAGGCCGCGCATCTTCTGGGATACTTCAACGGGTCCCTGCCATTCCCAAGCAACGGCACTGGGAAGGAACAAGAAATCTTCACGTATCAGTCGCTGCTGGCGTATACGGTACTCCTGAGAAACCTGTCACCACAAGACAGGTGTTGGGACCCAGGACGGGACCGGAGCTGGGCTGCCGATATGGCCCGAGCCTGCATTTGAGGCTTGGAGTGTGGCGGCACGTGGGAGGAGGCAGAGGCAGACGAGCTTCTCTGGGAGACGTGCTGTGCTGGCCTGGGCTGGCTGCTGGCGCCAGTGGCAGGAGCAGCAGCAGCAGCAGCAGCAGCAGCAGCAGCAGCAGCAGGGCGGTGCAGTGCTGATGCGGGCATGGCCCCATGCATGTGACTGCCAGCGACGCCTGCCAGCTGTGCTGCTTGCACCCTGGGCCCGCCACCCTGGTTGAGCGAGGCTGCTTGGACCATAAGCCCAGAACCGTCGGAATGAGTGAGGACCCCACCTGCAGGGCCCGCACCCACCTGACTTGCCGTGGACTCCCCCCAAGAATGGCACCTCGATGGGGCGCGGCTTCCTGGAGCCCTGGTGCTGGCAGCAGCAACGGGTGCTTGTGCCCGCATGGAGCCCACACAACGAGTGCCTCCAAGGGCCCCACCTACAGGGACCCCACCTCCAGGGGCCCCACCTCCAGGGGCCCCACCTCCAGGGGCCCCACCAACAGGGGCTGCACCCACTTGGCCTGCCACGGACCCGCCCCATGAGTGCCACCTCGCTGGGGTGCGGCTTGCTGCAGCCCTGGCGCTGCCAGCGGCGCCATCGCCACGCCCATGGCCACACCCGTGCATGCTGGCGCGTACCCTATCAGCAGCACCGGCACTGGCACCTGCACCAGCCCCAGCAGCGCCGCTAGCCGCATTACTAAAAGCAGCAGGGGCAGGAGGAGCAGTGGGGGCAGCAGAGGCAGAGGCAGCACGGGCATTGGGGGATTGGAGTGGGAAGGTGAGCACGCGGCGGTGGAGGGTTGCAGCCTGAGTACTGCCAGGCTGAGGGATGGGGCGCCCCCCTCCCTGCCCGCGGGTGTGCTGCTGGCTGGGGTGAGAGCGGGGAGCGCTGTCCAGGCACGGGGGAGGGTATGTGGAGTGCCGCAGCAAAGGG